ATACCGATCTGAGTGATCCCTTGCACCGCAGCGTCCCCTCCCAGGTGGACAACCCTACCTCCAGTGCTTTGTATATGGATTTTGTAGGAACGTGCTCCTTTTGTGGTCATGGTTACATGGTGAGTGAGAAATTAGCGGTTGTAGAGAATAGCCCTTAACGTGAATATAGAATTCCTCTGCATGGTGCAATGTAAAGCTCACTCTGGAGAGTTAAACCTGTTTAAAGCCTTCTCTTTGCTGTAATGGTTGACAGATTTGTTGCAATTAAACACGTGTATCCGGGTGCTTACTTGACCCCACACTGCTACTGAACCACTGACTGATTGTGGACTAGAGCTACCTCAGGCAGAGATGAGGGAGGAGGCCGCCGAAGTCAGGTAAGCTCCTTTGTTTGATGTCCGCAAGTTATTTTCTATTTACATCGCGAGAGGTGTGTAAAAGAGACGGGAGTTCCCCACAGGGTGGGGGTACAGAGTGAGGAGAGGACAACTGAGAGGGTTCTCACACAGAGAGGTGAGGCACAGAGCGAGGGGCGGTACACAGAGAGGGGAGGGGACACAGAGAGGGGGAGGAATAGAACCGGAGAGTCAATACTCTCGTATCTTACTCGCTAACGTTACCTCTCTCTCTCTCTCTCTCTCTCTCTCTCTCTCTCTCTCTCTCTCTGACTATGCATGTGCCACCATTTGTTCTTTACCTGGTTTACTGTGTTTAAGTCATTTCAAATGTCCTCTGATGATTGTCAGACAGTCCTGATGTGTAACTTTACATTTATAGTTTTAAATAATTTAGTTAATTGTAAAAGGAATATGATGCAATCTGCCTCTGAGCCTGTGCGTGTGTCCTCGTCCTTCTTATTGCTATTTTAAAGTGACGTAACTGGAGTTTGTTGAAACTTTGTTTCAGGGTATTTATGTAGTTTTTGTCCTGATTCAGAATTATTATGATGCATTGTTACAGTTGCCCCTTTGTTCGGTCTGTGTTCACACTGCAACATTTAACAGCGGACTAAATATTGTAAACCAACAAACTATTCTGTCATTGCTCCAATTTTAATGCAGCTATAAATAGACCTTTTCTTTTTAAGTGTGGGGATTGGGGGTGCGTGAACCCAGTTGAGAAGTAGAAGGGGGTTCATGACCTACAAAGTTTGGACTAGACAGATGCATTTGACCCAATATGGTTCAATTTTAAATTCCAGCCTGTCAGTTTCACTCACCTCCGATATGATGGAAGTAGGTTCCTCCTGTGACACATTTGTACCTTTTGTTCCATCAGGTAACTTATGTTTTAAAAACTGAAATTGACCACAGCTGCCTCAGGTTGAAAAAGGTTGTGTGAAAGCGTTTTGAAGATAACTTCATTGGTTGAACCGCTGTTGACTGGTGAAGCTAGGCGGGAGGGGGGGGGGGGGGGGGGGGGGGGGGTAAAAAGGGGGGAGGGTAGCCCCCATTAAAAAAGGGGCCCTGGGTACTTTTTGGAAACCTTTTGGGAAAAGGACCCCCATGGGAAAACATTTTCCCCCTTTTGGGCGTTTTCCAGGGGGGAAAATCCCCCCAAAGGTTGGGAATTTTAAAGAAAAAAAAGGAAAAATGTCGCCCCAATGCCCCCGAAGGGTTTTAAATGGGAATCCCCGGGAAAAAAAAAAATTTTTCTAAAAACCCTTCTTTCCCCAAAAAACCCACTACAAAAATTTTTTTTTTGGATGCCCACAAAGGGACAAATGCCTTGGGGGGGGTTAACCGGGTTGGAAAAATACATTAAATTACCGGGCATTTAGGGGCTTAAATTTTTAACCCCGGGGTTTTTTTTACATTTTGCAATTAGCAATTAGGCGTTAAGGTGTCTTGCTCAGGGACACTTTGGCGTGGGACATGGGGCAGCCGGGACTCGAACCCTCTCTACCCGTGCGCCACCACGACCCCGCCAAGATAACCAATGATCAGCCACATTGTGGGCTGTGTGTAATTTGACTGATTACCTATTTCCTTGGATGCTTGCGATCGCTTCACCATAAGAAAATAACAATTTGTAATGAAAAATGAAAAGTTATCCAAAAATATTCTGAGCTTTTGCAATCCTGGTGCAGACAGCCTAGGGG